ATCTAAGCATTCTTCCCGACATGTCTGGCCGCCCGAGTAGCTGTCTGACGGGCTGGTCGGTTCTGACTATGGTCGTGTGGGCCAGGAAGTAATGTCGTAACCTTCTGGCCGCAGTGACGAGGGCTAAAACAACTTTCTCAATCTGCTGGTATCTGAGCTCAGGCCCTTGGAGAGCTTTGCTTGTGAAGTATATCGGTTTCAATCCTTCGGGGGTTTCGCGGATCAGTGTTGCGCTGACGGCTTCTCTGGCGACGGCGAAATACATATATAAGGTTTCCCCCGACGATGGGTCTCGACAGCACTGGCAGCTCCGAGAAAAATTGCTTGAGGTGGAGGAGAGCCTGTTTGTACTGCCGCCGTCCATTCGAACGTGGCCTCTTTGCATAACAGTTTGAAGAAGGGGAGGGCATGTTGTGCCGACTTGGAGACGAATCGTGACAAAGACACGAGCATCCCATTCAATGTTTGGATAAACTTCTTTGTGTTCGAGGTGGCAAACTCAGAGAAGGCCCTGCACTTGTTCGGGTTGGCTTCTATTCCTCGTTATGTTAAATAGAAAAGGAGGAACTTGCCTACTCGTACGCCGAAAGTGCACTTTTCAGGGTTGAACCTCATCCTGCACGTCCTTACCGTTTCGAAGACCTTCTTGAGATGACCGGTATGGTCGACCTTGTCTCGTGAATTCACGATCATGTCGTCCATATAAACTTCGAGCATGTCTCTGATTTCTTCTCGGAAGACCTTGTTCATCATCCTTTGGTAAGTCGCCCCTAACGTTCTTCAGACCGAAGGGCATTACGTTGTATTAATAATTTCCTGACTCGGTCATGAAGGCCGTGTATTGCTTGTCAGCCTTTGCCATGGGGATCTAATTGTATCCCGAGTACGCGTCCATGAACGACAATAATTTAGAACCTTCCGAATTGTCGACGAGTTTGTCAATGTTATGTAATGGGTAGGCATCTTTGGCACATGCCCAGTTGAGATTGGTATAGTCAACACACATTATCCATTTTCCATTATGTTTTTTAATAAGTACAACGTTGGACAGCTAGGTTGAGTACTGGGATTCCGATATAAAATTTTCCTCTAGGAGGTCTTTTACAGCTTTTTCAGCAGCCTCCGCTTTCTCGGGAGACTACCTATGCCCATGTTGAACTATGACCTTAGCGACCAGATCTATAGAGAGATGGTGGCAAGCTATATCGGGGTTGAGCACGAGCATCTCAGCAGCGCTCCACGCGAAGAGGTCAACATTCTCCCGGAGGCAGACCTTGAGTTGTTTCCTTGATAAGTCAGAGAGGCATATGCCGATCTTCATGCTTCTTCTGGGGTTGTTTCCTAACGTGATGAGTTCGAAGTCCCCATTTGGAATGAGGCGTGTCGGATGAGAGAGCTTCCTGTAGTCTACTAGGGGTGTGTCTTCGAGGTCGACAGAGTTAACATGCAGAAGGGATTTCGGCTCTTCTGTCGGGGCCGGTCTGCCGGTCGACTTAGGGGGACGTTGATAGAGCTGAGTCCTTTGAGTTCCTCCTCAAAGCATCTTCTGGTCGCCTCGATTTCCCCGTGGAGGGTGACTACCCGCCCTTTGGTCGTGTAGTACTTCATCTTCAGGTGGACTGTAGATGGTACTGTGGTTAGCTCGGCCAAAGATTCCCGTCCCAGGATGCACTGGTAGAAGGAAGGGCACTCAATTACCAGAAAGCGGACTTTCACCTGTCGGGAAGTCTCCTCGGCCCCGAAGGTGACCAGCTGTTCTACGTATCCCCAAGGCTTAGTGGTGGTGTCATTGAAGCCTTGGAGTTCAGAGCCCACATACGGAGTCAAGTGGCTCTCGTCGAGTTGCAGGGTCGTGAGCAGGTGGGCGTACATTATGTCTACCGAACTCCCTTGGTCGACCAGGATTCGGCGGACATCGAAGTTCGCCATCTGAGCTCTAATCAGGAGGGGAATGTTGGCGTTGGGTTCCCCCCGGGAAGTTCCTCGAGGTAAAAGGTGATTGGGTTTGATTCCCTTTTGAACATGTTAAGGGTAGCGTTTATCTTTGAGATTTTATCGATGAGTTCCTCAAACTTCCTCTTGACTGACCCGACCGAAGCTTGTTGGGTCCCCCCCAAATATCACCAATGCGGTGGGGGAATCTTCTCAAGGACTATGGACGGCTAGTGGTTTGGAGGGATAGCTAGGGATGAGGAAATCTTCTTGTCAGGAGATGCACACAGCCACCTGCAATCCTGATTCGTCGGAAGGGATTGACACTTCCTTAACTCTCTTGGCCTCGTGGGTCTCAAGTCGGGGGTTTTCACCCCTCCGGGTATATTGTTTCAGATGCCTTTCTTTAATTAAGATCTTAATTTCATCTTTGAGGTGGATGCAATCTTCCGTGACGTGCCCATGGCTCCTGTGGAACCGACATTACTTGGATTTTTCCATGTTGGGCTTCGGGGGTGTCATTTTCGGGAACCCAACTCCGCCCCTCTGAAATTCCAAATTGATGCATTCAGCTAGGATGCACTCGCGGGGATCCGTGAGTAGCGTGTACTCGGTGAATCGGTCTGCCGACCCTTTCTATTCGCGGGGTCGGTCCTCGCGGCTTTTTTGCTCGTTGTGTCGAGGCGGAGGGGCTTCCTCATGCCTGACGCCTCTGAAACCCTCATAGTTCCTTCTGTCCCTGGAGGTGTTGGCGGCCTCTATCTCCTCGTACTCGATGTATGATTGAGCCTTGTGGAGGAGGGCATTCAAGGTGCGGGGACATGCGATTCCAACGGCCTTGGAAAAGTCAAAGTGTGGTTGTATGCCCATCTATATCAAGAATCTCTTCATATCGTCCGTGGTGGACACCTGGACGGCTTCACGATTGAACCTCTCTATGTAATCACGGAGAGGCTCGTTCCTCCCCTGGATGATGGCTTCCAGGGTCGGTTCTGTCTTCGGATGGCACCGAGAAGTTGTGAAGTTCCTAGAGAACTGCCGCTTCAGTTCACCCCAGGAGGTAATGGAGTCGGGCATGAGGCGTTTGTACCATGCCATGACTCCCTTCCTCAGGGTGGTGGGGAACAACCTGCACTTGATGGCTCCCCGGACATTCTGGTAGTTGAGCATAACGTCCATGATTTCAATATGGTCGTTTGGGTCGGTCGTGCCATCGTACGTAGTCAAGATCGGGGGTTTCTCCATTACAGTGGGAAGCGGGGCCTCCTGATGGCTCTGCATAGCAGTGAGTGCAGAGGTCCTCGTCGCTCCTGATGGGAGACAGTGAGGGGAAAGCTGACTCCTGGTGGTTTCGATTTCGACGTGGGGGACTCCTTAGCTAGGCTCTCGGTCTAGAGGGGTCCCCTACGGCTTTCTTCTTCTAAGTCGAGGAACGTCGCTCTTTTCGAGGAGGTGACCTATCCCGTTTGTGGGAAACTGGCTACTAAGGTCGCTCCAAATGAGGGCGGCGCCTCGTCGGCATGGGAGAGGGACTCCGTGACTCTTCGACGAACTGCGTCCTCCGCAGGGGAGGATACGGGCTTATAGAAACCGGGCGCTGGCGTCTCCGCAAGGGAGGGGACAGACTGAGGGAAACAGGACGACGGTGTCTCCGTGGGGGAGAGCGTGTTAGTTGTTCCCTTTCGAGCATCTCTATTCGTTTGTTCTGCCCGAAGATCATAAAGTTGGTTTGGTTGATGGCCACGAACAGAGCCACTACGGTAGGATCGACGCCAACTGGGACCAGGATGGGCTGGTAAATAGCCGGGTTGTTTAAGCGTTGGATGACATTGTAGGTCGCGTCTTCTGAGGATGGGATAGGCGGTGCGCCCGTCCCTGTGGTCACCTTCTTCGATGCTGACGGCCGTGTTGGGGTTGTGGCCGTCCCCGTTGGAAACGGGGGCAAAGGCAGATCCTGGAGCATTATTGTGGCGCGGGCTTACCATGATTGAAATGGAAGTTGTTTGTTAATTTTGCTTTGCTTCTTGAGTTGTTGTGCTCGGACAGGAGAAAGAACGGGGAATCCGAGATTTTCCACAAACTGCGCCACTGATCTCACCTGATCAGAAAGGAATCAGTGACCTGTCACGCGTCGTGATCTGATGCCTTCACCGGAGTTGTGGAGGAGAAAGGGGGTGTACCTGCAAAATGCTCTAATGTCTAAGTAAGTATCGGAACTAGAGAGAGCAAGTATAAAGAGAAGGTGTGGAAAATAGAATACATGATCCTCTAGTGAAATAGGGTATTTATAATGTGCCCCCAGCGCAGGGCCAACAGTTACATTCTATTGGGCTGGATTGCCAAGCCCAACACAAGTAACTGTTAGGGCTTACGTGGCGTAGTGAAGACCAACACGTGGTCTTCGTCCTGGATTAACTGCTCAGAAGGGTCTTCTGCCCGACAGATGTGCCTTGTTGAAGCTCCTGCCTGACAGAAGAAATTTGGCTTTGTTGGACCTCATCATCATAGTCTTGGGTTGGATCTGCCGGGTTTTGGGGGCAGGTCTTATCCCAGTCCAAAACAATATTATTATTATTATTATTATTATTATTATTATTATTATTATTATTATTATTATTATTATTATTATTATTATTATTATTATTATTATTATTATTATTATTATTATTATTATTAAGTAATATACTTAATACTTATTTATATTTTAATTAACATTATTTTAACTAATATTTATTTATCAAATAATAAAATAATAAAGTTTATTTATTTTAGTATAAATTTCAAGTTTACTAATTATCAAAACTTTTTTACTTCATATGTTAAGATAATTAAAAATAAAAATTTGATTATTTAAAAAATCTAAATATAAGCTATATTTTTTATAAAATCTATCTCTTTCAAACTCTAAATCGACACTTCACCAAACCATTTGTTTTGTTATACTTTTGTTTGACTTGTAAAAGTACACTAGAAATAATATGTTTGATCCTATTCCAACCTTGATTAAAACCACATTAATACTTTCTATACTTATAATGAGTAGTAAGTAATTACAATCACAATAATTGTTATGAAGTTGGAGATACAGGCAAAACCGATGCAAACGAATTAGACATCTCTGGAAAATTTCTACACAAAGGGCAAGTAGCATTTGTTTTGAGCCATCCATCTATACAATTAGCATGAAAATAATGATTACACTCAGGAATGGTTCTCAATACTTCATTTGGTTGATACTCACAAAGACATATAGAGCATATATTGTCATTAGGCCTAGGCAATCTTCCACTTTCACCAAGTTGAGTTATAGGATATTTTTCAATCGTTGCTCTATCAAGGCCCATAACAAAAACTGGAGGGTGAGGCATAACCATAGTTGAAAATTCAGTTCCTGTTTGACGTTGTTGTTGTGCTTGAGTACTTGTGCTCTTGTTGTTCCATAACATCCATGTAAGAACAATAATACCTAGGAGTGCAGGTATTGCTAGACCCATACTTAAACCATACTTCACTTTCTTTGATAGACCTATATCTATATGACCCCAAAAGAATAAGGAAAAACAAACAACAAATAAGAAGCTATGTAAGTAGGATCCATAGTAGGACTAATAGTGCATTGTTCAATTTTCAAGCATTACATTTTTCTCTCTTAAAACCAATCAGTAAAGTAAAAAAGTTAAGTTATAGTAAAGAGTAAATATGAAATATCTATGGATGTTTTTAATATGAACCTCTAAAAAGTATTCAAATGTAGAGTCTAGATATTTTTAGTAAAATATCGCATCTTTTTCCCTTTTAAATCAAACTGTTTGCAATGGTGAACTAAATTGTTATATTTTCTTTTAACTTTTGCTAAATTATATATTGTCCTGAATGCAAATATATCAAAACAATTTATTTGGAAAGGGAAGCTACAAATAGTGTCGTCTTTGAAGGCAAACTACTACGTAGGAATCAATATTTGTCGTAGTTAAATAGTGGTTAAATAAGATCTCATAAAATATTTGTCATGCCAAAAACTCAAGACGACTCTAGCATGAAAGAAACTATTCTGCATGAGAAGGTTAGAGAGAAGGAAAAAGAATCAAACCTTAGGTCTTGGATATGGAAGATTTATAACTCACAAAAATCAAACTATTCATTTAGAGTGTTGCCCTCAAGTCATTCTAACACTTGCATAACAGAAATATGTTTGCTACTAATTTGTGTCCACGTTGCGTGATATATGAAGAACATATCCTCCTCTACCTTAGAGATTGAAAGAAGCTAGACAAATTTGGAAGACCATATGATTCATTGGAGGTGTCAACTTATGTCCAGAATTTTTGGAAGCAGCTTCTTCTTTTCTGCACTGTCTTGATTTTCTCTTGGATTTTGAAAGACTTATCAAAGGAGCTACGAGCAACTCGAGTGGTTAATTGTGTGGGCATCAACGATGTGGTTTCTATGGTATGGTAGAAGCTCTGTTATTTTTTACAACAAACCTAAGTCTATTAAAAATCTTCTGAATTCCATTAAGTTTTTCAGTTGGAAATGGTTAATAGATCTTTTAATTATAGTTCTTTTTATGACTGGTATTCTGTTCCTCTTGAGTGTTTTAAGAGGAAGAAATAGTTTGGTTTGTTCTGGTTGTTGCACTCCTTGTGCAGTCAATTAATATATCATTGCCTTCAAAAGAACATATATTTATCGTGGTGGTCCTATGTCTAATTTGTTTCTATTAGGTTAAAGTTTGGGGATTAGAAATATTGTCCGCATCGTTAAGGAAATAGTCACACTTAATCACATAATTTCTTACATTCAAAGACTTGAAGTTGATATAAAAAAAGTTTTAACCTCCCTCTCCAAGGGATATTATTTTGGTAAAGTTGGTGACTTGGCAACATTAATTCTAGAGAATATTTTAGTTTGATTAAGGGCCGCAAATAGGTATATTTGTTCACTTTAAATTCGTCATGCAAAATTTTGAGAAACAAAAATGGGACGGAGCAGAACGGACATAATTGAAATTTTGAGTTTAAAATTTTGGTTTGTCCCTCACAAAAAGTGAGGATGGGCACTGTACATTTTAAATATAAATATACAAAAGTTGTGTTAACATTCTATACGCAAAAGCCAATAAAAAAATATTATAGAACATGATTAACACATTTAAAGACTAGGCATAAACTCTTGAGTCACTCTGTATTAAAGTGCAGATAAAGTAGACATTGTCCAATAGGTCAGACCCATAATACCACCCCTAGTGTGATGAATATAGATGAAAGTTGTCTTAGTGTCGAAAGTAAAACTGGTGCATGAGGGTCATCGGTGGTAGTGATGGTAGAAGGATTATTGGTTTTAGCAGCTTCATTAATATATATCATCAAACTTGAACTTATGGCTATCTTAATTGAATTAAAATTGGCTACCTCGTATGGATTCAGTAACATTTATTACTATTTGGATTCAAAAATAGCAGTTATTGAATTTTTTTCTAAACTACTCATAAAATTCTATAAGTTCAATTCAATTATAGCCGACAATCAAGATCTCCTTAACGCGGATTGAATGGTGAATATTAATCACTTATTTAGAGAAGAGAATGCAACTGCTGAACTTTTAAACAAGTTACATGCAACAAATGATCATCGCCTCAAAATTTTCTCTTTCTAATATTTTATTATAGTTTTTCTTTTTAATTTCAATCAAGAAAATATTTTATTCCTAAACAGTCCAAAATTTGAATGAAATGAATAAAAATGAATTAAGATAGATGATTTGACCTTGAGTAGGAAGACCATAACAATCAAGACGAAGAACATCTTCTCCAACCAAACCACATCTTCCTCCACGTTCTTCACAGCTTCCACAATCTGGATCATCCCACTGCAACGCTATATTCGAGTAATGATCATTCCAGAACAACCAATTCGTATCTTCAACCGGTATCATAGCCGACGTGATAAACTCACACAAAGACACCCATGGAGTACCAAACGGAGGATCAGACCTTATAGCCACAACCAGATAATCAACGTTCAAACAACTCATGGGCGGTACCATAGATGACAGAGATGAATTAGAAGGACATTTTAGAAACGAAACATTAACAAAAGTGTAATCATCACTTAACCGAAACGGCGAATCTTTAAGGTTTAGCATGAAGTCATGATGATGACGGTGAGACATGAAACGTTTGGGAAGACACTTGTTGGGATCGTTGATCCAAACTGTTTGATCGGTGAAAGAGATGTGTTTTAGCACAAAGGTTTCGGAGTTTGGAAGAGTGAGTAACGGTTCACTGAAGATGGTGCTGGTGGTGGTGTTGCTGCTGGTGTTGCTACAGGTGAGTTCGAAACCGGGGTAACTACATAGGTTGATTTGATTTGGTTGGTTTGTTGAAAACGGAAACCGGATTGGAAGTCCAAAGGTTTCGCATGATATTGTTCCACATGTGAAATCTTGGGTTTTTGTTTTACGTAGTGATACGAGGATGATTATTAAGGAAATTAAATATGGGAAAGTAGTCATTTTAGTTTAGTGTGTGTTTTAATGGATGGATGGAGTATTCATATGGTTGCAACAAAAGGAGGTTTGGCTATGTTCTGGGAGAGGAAGAGTTGCTGAAAAAGTCTAAACATCAATTCACCTAAAACAACATAACAAACACTAAATCCAAAACTAATGTTTGATGTACTTATTCGGCAATTTCTCTATTTTATAGGACTCTCTAGAAACTTTGACGTGCATGACATTTTTTTAGCTTTGCGCGTTTAATGATAAGTTTGAAAATGTCTACAAAATAAGTTTAAATAATGTTCAAAGGTTTGGTTTCCCAAAAATAAATACTCCAAGTAGTAAAAATATGATGATTGAATTTAAAGAACGTGATAGTAAAAGAGTTGTAAAGTAGGAAATGATTTAGAGTTGGAAATGATTTAAAATACACATGTGTTTTAGAGGTACTTTTTAATAGTTAAAAAAAATAATCTTTATAAAATGCGTGTAATCTTCAATTGAAATCACTAGCCTTTTAAAAAAATATTTTCTGTATTTAGAATGCATAGTGTTTCTAAAACACATGTTAACATGACCCTTTAAAATATATAAAAGATTAAAAAAGTGTATCTTTAATCCTATTTTAAATAGGAGGATTTAAAATAGTACGATGTAGATTATAGAAAAGGGAAATAGGTTAGACTCTAGGTCGAAGTATCAAGAGTTTCTCCAATAATATTAAGAGTTCACTCATGTATCACGCGTTCGACCAACTATCAAGAGTTTGGCCAAAAGGAGGAAGATCTCGCATGAGTAGCAAAAGCACACCCAACTATCAAGAGTTCATCCAAGATTATTAATAGCTTCGTCAATAGTTGCAAGACCTTGTTCGAGTATTAAGACTTCACCCTTCATTATTCTTTGGACCAACTTGGCCATTAATATTGAACTCGACTAAGCTAAGTTAAGACCGACTTAGAGGAATATGAAACATCCATTAAAAGAATTTTATTATATAGATAAATTATTCAAGGCATATTATGAACCTTGATGGACCAAAACCAAGCAAGGGAGCATTGATGGTAAATAATGTGGGATGCTCAGAGTTGTATATATACTAATAGTAGTGGAAGGAGTTAAAAGAGACACCAAAACATAGACAATTGAGATCTTACTGGCCATCGCTAGTAAGGTTGCAGTTGGGCTTCATCGGTTTCACATCAGTGATGTGACAATGATGTGTTATTTGGAAGTATTGAAAGTAAAGGAGTTTAAAGACAATCCTTTTGATTTTAAATTTGCTCAAAATTTATAGTTTAAAATACTGTGGAGAGTATACTTAAGTTTTATAAAACTTGAATTTGTTTTTGGTTATGAGTAGGCCTCCAAGTTTAAGTATTTGGCTATTTGTGATTTGTGAAAAAATCTAATTTATATGAAAATAAAACTAAAAATTTAACACTATAGTGATAGACCACTATCGTAGTAGTTACTTTGTTGAGCTATTCTAAATGAGTTGTTTGCTAGAAATCGACACACATTTCAAAATTTCTCTGTGTAGGTTAATATCCATCTACATTTTGGTTTGAGTGTAACACATTTTATAAAGATCTATTGTCTTCATCATATATACACAAATAAAATGCACATTGAGGTATTTTCTTTCATACAATTGTCCCTCACAAATCATTTTCTCTGGTAATTTCACTATTGTTGTCAGATCTTTCAACGTTTTTTTTAGGAATTTTGTCTTTGAGTTGACTCACGATCATTTTCAACAAACTTTGCAAGTAACATATTCCCATTAGGTTTTTGGTTGTTTGACAAACAATCAAAAGCTATGTTGGTAAATAAACCAACATAGATATGTGTCTCATAAAATAAATGTGTCCTTTCTTGGGTGTTCACATGTCACGAGTCCTATCAAAAGTCACATCTTTTGCATTTTGTGTCAAAGTAAGGTGTTAACCTTAATCCTTTTACACATATTAAGATTGGTCATTTCGTCATTACACCTTTTCAAGTGCCCTTGTAAAAGGTCAATTCCTTAAGCATAACTTTTTTTTTTATGTTTTCTATCTTTGGGATTTAGCTCAAGCATATTTTCATTTTTTCTAAGATCCACAAATCTTATTTCCAATCCTCCATAGATGTTTACTATTAAAACCTCCTGATCCAAGAACACATAATTTTCTTCAAATATTACAATTGAAGATTTAATATTGAATCATAGTAAAATCTTTTGCTCTGGTCTGGTAGTGGGGGTGAGAATACTTTAATGCTAAACTCACTCACGATATTAAGTGTGAGAGTTTTATATTAGAACCACGTGTACCTAAGATTTATTTGTATTTTAACATTTATAGTAGGCTCATAAGGTTTAAGGCCCCAAACCTTCTTCGAGGGACACCTGTCTCAAAAGAAAGTTGTTAAGATATCATTATTCAACGACCCATGATGATTGTGTGACATCAATTTGGTGTGCTTATAGGGTGAACATATCTCCTTAATTTCCTCTTACCTAGGGATGGCAAAAAAATCCGTATAGGCGGATATCCACGGATAAAATCCGTCATAGAAATGGGGCGGGTAGTTTAATAGATATCCACGAATAAAATAAATGGATATTCAAATACCCGTTTGTTAATGAATATGGATATGAGTTTAATGATATTTGTGCCCGCTGATATCCATATTCATTAATAAGTTATAAAAAAAATTTGAATATCATTGGTTTGATATTCTTATAATTTATTAAGGGGATTCAAATATGAGTTCCAGACTTCACACTTTTATGTTAGGAGTTATTAATGGATTTTTTTTTCTTAGATCCCGAATTGGCTTTATATTCATGATTGTTCATGCATTTGTTAGAATATAAAGAGACATGTTGCATTTTATATCGCTCTTTCTTCCGTCACATCGACGTTACATGATTATCATTTGGGAATAGGGCTGGAAATGAGTCGAGTCGAGTCGAACTCACCTCAGCTCGGCTCGACTCGTTAAGAATTGTTCGAATTCGAGTTCGAGTTCGAGTTTGACACGAACTTTTTTTTAAGCTCAAACTCGACTCGTTATAAGTTCACGAACAGTTCAGTTCGACTCGTTAGGTTCATCTCATTAGGTTCAGCTCACATGGTTCACGAACTTAAAAACTATTTTTTTTAAATATATATATTTTTTAGTATATTTGATATTTTAAATAAATATATATATTTTAAATAAAATATTAAAATAAAATAAAAGTTATCATATTGAAATTTAACTTTATCTTCGAAATCTACTAATTCAAAACCTACACAACTTTCAAGAGATACATTTGAGAGTCTAATTCAAAAACTACTAAATTGAAGATTAAATTTGTCTAAGATTTGAAGTAAATATTTAAACCTAATCTTAAAGACAGTATAATTCTTTTCATATGTAATCGAGTTGACTCATGAACCTAACGAGTCGAACTATGTATAGTTCAAGTTCAGCTCATTTAGTTAACGAACTTAATTTTTCGCTCATACTCAACTCATTTGGTTCATGAACCTAGTTCAACGATTTAATTATCGAGTCGAATTCCGAACTATCTTCGAGTTGGTTTGGTTCATTGCCAGCCCTATTTGGGAACTATAATCGATATTATGGATTAGGGATTCAAACAACATATTCCTTGATGATACGACATTGATTATTGGTTCATGCGCAACCTCGCGGATCCCTTAATTATACATTGTTGGATCTTTGTTATATTCATATTCCTTATTTAGTTTGAGTGTGTGTGTGTGTATGGACACACATGCATACGCACATACAAATACACACACACACACACACACACATTGATGAGTCACTTCATTCAATATTTTTTTTCTCATTTTTTCCTTCACGAGGTCCTTAACATTTTGGGATTTCATATTTCTCCTTGACAGTTGAAGTCATTTTGTTGAATTTGGGGCCTCACCATCAACAATTTTTTTCTTTTTTTGAAGCTGCTCTTAAATCTTCTTTTATCGGTACATTTTCATTCTTTGTTGTTTCATTTTTTATCTTTTATTTATTGTTTAAGCATGTGGTGGTATTTCCATCTATATGTGGTATTGCTGTTATTTAATGAGGAAACTAACCTTGCTAGTGGTTATGTTTCCCTCATTCTCATGGTTATTGAGATAAAGTATCTTTGTTTCTTACTCTTTGAATGACCTTTGAGTTCTTGAAATGCCATGAAAATATTGTACTTCAAATTTATCATGCAAAGTGAAATGGTGGGTGACTAGTCATCATTTTTATTAGCTTTATTCAAGTATTTTCATCAATTTTGTAACCAAATATTGTTTTTGATAATTAATTAGGTAGTTTTTTCAAGAAAAATCACATATTTAGGTTTTAAATGATTTAATGACATTTTACTAATAATGCGTCGTTTTGGAAAGGCTTGATCTATTTTGTAGGTCTTATCAATCAAAAGAAGGACTAGAAGATGGGATATGCATGACAATGGGGTGGGTGGGGGTGAATTTAAGCAATATCATCCCCACCATCGCCTCTTTGTACCATCTCCAACCCCACCCCCAGTTAGGTGTAACAAATGACCACTCACCTCCGCCTCAGACGAAGAACGAGTTTCCCTGGCCAGCCCCGCATCCACCCGCAAAAACTATAATTTTTTTTAAATGCATATTATGTTGCATAACAACAAAATTCAATAATTAAATTAAATATCTAGTCATTTTAATAATAATGATATTACTTGGTCATTTTGATTTAATCTATATTTTCAAATAAAAATAATCCTATAATTAATTTTCTATGTTCTGCCTCATTGGTTTGACAACGGAGGAGCTCGATCGAGGTGTCCCCGTTGGGTCAAGAGTATGCTCACACACACAAGAGCAGAGACTTGGCATTTCATTTCAAGTTGGGAAGTCGTGCTTGTACCTTAGCACGCTCCTGTGGTTGGGACGTACTTCATTGTGGTCGAACCAAGTATGTCGACTGTAGTGTTTAACTATAATATCGTTTGAGCTTTTCAGCATTCCATG